ATCGAGAGGATGAAATGAAAAGTGAGCGGTGAAGAATGATTAATTTGATGTACTAACATTGTACATCAAATATAATTTCTTTAAATAATATTTGTTTCATTTTTGTAATTTATTTATTTTTTATTATAAATTGTTTCTTTCATAGGGTTGAATCTAATTTATTTAAATAATATTTGTTTCATTTTTATAATTTATTTATTTTTTATTATAAATTGTTTCTTGGATGTGGTTGAGTTTATAATGTGTATACTGGCTACACATCGTCTAAACTGTGGACGTTAGCCCATCAGGCGAGCTCACACACACCCTTAAACTTGCTGATCAGGCTAGTAATCGACGTCAGACTGTTGTAGGACACTGTTGTAGGACACCTTAAAATTGACGATGAATTTTCTATTTCAATGAACATAATTCACAAATGTCCTTTTTAGGGAAAAAAAAGTACGGCCTTCAATATTTTTCTAGTCATTTTTAGTCATTTTTAGTGTCATTTCAATTTTTGTCACAAAAGTGGTGTTATGTTTTAGACTTGATTTTTGAGATTTCAAAATTTAGACGATACAAAGATAAAAACAAAAAGCATATAAAAAATTTAAAATATAAAAAATGCCTTAAATTTTAAATTAGAATAAAAACATCAAGATTAAATATAAAATATAAAAACATCAAAATTAAATACAAACTAAAAATCAATTATAAAATATTGTTGTTCAAATTTATTAGGGACGGAAAAATGGGTTTAAGATACAATTACAAAAGATTCATACGTAAAAATGGGATTAGGATACAATTATAAAAGACTCAATACATAAAAACGAACTAACATGCTGGAAAGACCCCTCTATAACTGTGTAACTCTCATGTTCTCCCCCATCTCGATCGGCAGCCTAACCCCTCTATGATTATGCAATTCTCATACTTTCCCCACCTCTCGCCAGCCTAACCCCTCTATGATTATGCAATTCTCATACTTTCCCCACCTCTCGCCAGCCTAACCCCTCTATGATTATGCAATTCTCATACTCTCCCCACCTCGATCGACAATGTGAAACTCTCATATGCTCCCCAGCTTGGAAAAAAAAAAAAAAAGGAAAGGTGATTATACTGAGCAATCAACCTAATTCTTATTACATTCTGAGCTTAGTAAGTAATCACATACTGTACTCTGGATTCTAGGAAGTTCAAGTTAGCCTCTACAGCTAGGTAAGCATCTTGGGTGCCTCAAAGTTTTGAGCATATATCTAATTTAGTTTTGAGGCTTACCTATATGCTTCTATGTTCATAATTATTTTATCTTCGGAAAATTAAGTGTTTAAAGAAAAATAAAGATTTATGTGAAATTTTGGAAGAAAGAATATTATAATTAACCTAGGTAAAGATGCATGATGTGGGTAATTACCAAAATGTCTCTTTCGCGAGATTATGAGACATATGTTGTTTTATATGCTTTTCACTATGCTAGAATGGACGATGAAATATTGTGATATATATTCCGATTAATGGATATTATCACCCTTTGAGTTTGTATGTTGGTAGATATAGTACGTTTAGCTCCAGATGATGGTATATGTCTGGGCGCCTCCAGTAGAATGAACATCGTTCTCCCATATTAAGAAAGACTCAAGGACTTAAAATAGAGTACCCTGAAATCGACAATCCATGTTAAGTCACCTAGCCACACTAGAAATCTTGTTAAACCTCGTAAGCACTCAGAGATAACCGAGGTGACGTTTATGATATGTATCCCGTATTTTTAGTGATCGATAGGAATATCTCCATAACAAGCATGCATGCACGAACCAGGTTAAGATTAGGGCACTCAACCTAGAGCATTTTAGTCAATATGTTTCTAATAGATCATGTACCTTAAGATCGTGAGCGACCATTAGAGGTTTGGACCTTTGTGCACTCAAAAAATGGATTAGCTCCAAGGAATTGGTCTTGAACGTCTTTGAGACCTAGATGACGAACTTAAGAACCTAATTGACGACCACGACACCTAGAGACTAAAAAGGTAGCTCTTCAAGCTGTTAGTAGTTCTCTAAGCCATTAGCTATTTTACGGGGCCATCACAACCTCCACTATCCTTTGCACTATGGCCCAATATTGTCGAGTTAGGCATAAATGGGTTAGGGTAGTGCCAAGGCAACTAATTGCCCAATCTTAGGGAAGTGCCAAGGCCGTAAATCCATCTTGATAGGGGAATGAAACCACACCGGTTGACTCAGTAGTTGGTTGGCACACATGGGTGACACCACCTAAACTAGTGTGACTTTAAGAAGTAGGGCTTCAACCAAATACATAGCAAGCTAGGTAAGTCAAATACTAGTACCATAGACACTGAACTTTTTGAGCATCAACCCATAATACTGATCTTTCACTATCTAAAGTAGAGCTTGTGCAGACCACCCAAATTAGTGATATGCTCGAAACTTTGAGGCATCCAACATGTTTATACAGTAGTAGAGACTAAACCTGAACTTCCTAGAATTCATAAAAGTATGTTAGTACTTACTAGGTTATATGGATGTGATGATTTTTATAATCATTTTTTAGGTATGCAATCAAGGTGGAGGAGAGTATAGTTGTGCCCTCATAGAGGAGGTTAGGCTGCCGTTTGAGTGGGGGAGTATATGAGAGTTGCGCGGTCATAGGGGTCTTTGCGACATGTTGGTCCATTTTTATGTATTGAGTGATGTTGTTTTATCTTTATTTTAATTTAAAATTACTGCATTTTTTTTTACTTTCTTTTGATTTTTATCTTTCATTCCCTGACTTAAATTTTGAAATTTCGAAAATCGACACCTAACACCACTTATGACAAAAAAGAGTCGATCTAACTTATTTGAAATCTTATTTGAAATTTTGTTAAAATAAACTCTCGAGGTCAAAACTTCAATTCAGCCATTTGGATGCCATATCAAGACCCTTTATGGGATATACTTGTGATTGCAACGCTAATATCCAATTTATAATTAATTTTAGATTAGAATTATGAATTCAATAAAAAAATAATAATAATAATAATAATAATTTTGTAAATAAAAACTATAAATAGTTTGAATTTTTTTGATTGATAAAAATAATGAAATAAACTCAACAATATGAAAGAAACATTTTATAATGAATAAATAAATATATTACAAAAATGAAATAAATACTATTTAAATAAATTATATTTGATGTTCTACATCAAATTAATTATTCTTCACAGCTCACTTTTCATTTCATCCTCCTCGATTATCAATGGGGTATCTTGATCTTAAATTTATCTGCAAAATAAGTCCAACAAAAATAAAAATTAATAATAATGCACAAAATTAAAAAGTAGGAATCTCACCAACTTAATTAAAAAAGAAAGTGAAATTTGATATGAAATTACGCTAAGGTAAACCCTGAATGTAACGGGTAGATATATTAATAGGTTAGAATAAAAAATTAATACATTTTCTGAATGTTAAAATGATTTTTGTCTAAAGAGATTAGAAAAATGTACTTTCAACTTCCTTTTTGCCGCAATCTGCGTCACACTTATTACGACATGCAGCATCAGCGCATTTCTTATGGCAGGCTGCAGAACACGACTTAAAATTTGCTTCCACAGAGCCAAAGTCGTTAAAGAACGACTTGAATTTTGCCTCCATTTCAGCTGATGATTTGTCAGCAGTAGAGAATTGCAGTACCGATACCATCAAAACACACATTAGAACCACTGCCATCATCTTCTTTGCCATTTTTTTCTTGCCTTGAAGAAAATTCTTCGACTTTTTTTTGCCTTTTTTTATAATTTTTTCTTAATTTGATTGTAGATGATTGTTTGAAAATAAAGAAGGCCTTTTTATAAGGATGTTATTTGTTAAATTTAGACTCAAATTTAGATTTTTACCTTTTGAAAATAATGACAAGAACTGGTCTTTGTTTATTTTCTATTTTTAAGTTTTTTTTTGTTCTAAAGGTGGAAGAAAAAGTTTTTCATTGTTATTTTCTTTATTTTAAGGTATAAATATATCATAGAAAACAAAAAATAAAAAAATGAGATAGAAAGTTTAAAAAATGAAGCAATAAGAGTCATAATTCACTATTGTTTATCCGCTTAACAACCACATTACTTTAAGATTAAATTGCTTCATCTGCAGTCGATTATAAACACATCACGATAATAGGATAAATCATAACACCTCATATTTTTATATTTTCATGTGAGATAGAGTTATTGGAAACCACCTACCCATTTTCCCCTCTCCTCATCAACAACAATCCCCTTAAGAGTTATTAGATCCACAATGACTCGAAAGGGAGAAGGAACTATACATTGAGAGTGTTTAGATCATCTTTCTCAAGATCAATCGGTGGTGAAGTTCTCGCTTTTTTTGCTGTCTTCATAAATTATGTTTGGAAGAGAGGTCGAATTTTCTTGTTATTATCTCACAACCATCATCGTGTATAGATTTTCGCATTGTTTGGCCTAAAAAAAAAAAGGAACTATAATATCTTCAGAAATTATAGTTCCTTCTCTCTTTCGAGTCATTGTGGATCTAAGAACTGTAAAGCGAATTGTTGTTGATGAGGGGAGGGGGAAATGCGTAAGTGGTTTCCAATGACTCCATGAAATTAAATTAGGTCGAAATTGATCTATAAAATTAAAAAAAGGTATCTAACCTGAAAATATAAGAATAGGTGTTATGATTTATCCTATTATCGGGATGTATTTATACCTTTTTGTTTTCTATGATATATTTATACCTTAAAATAAAGAAAATAACAATGAAAAACTTTTTCTTCCACCTTTAGAACAAAAAAAAAAACTTAAAAATAGAAAATAAACAAAGACCAGTTCTTGTCATTATTTTCAAAAGGTAAAAATCTAAGTTTGAGTCTAAATTTAACCAATAACATCCTTATAAAAAGGCCTTCTTTATTTTCAAACAATCATCTGCAATCAAATTAAGAAAAAAAAACATAAAAAAGCAAAAAAAAGTTGAAGAATTTTCTTCAGGCAAGAAAAAAATGGCAAAGAAGATGATGACAGTGGTTCTAATGTGTGTTTTGATGGTATCGGTACTGCAATTCTCTACTGCTGACAAATCATCAGCTGAAATGGAGGCAAAATTCAAGTCGTTCTTTAATGACTTTGGCTCTGTGGAAGCAAATTTTAAGTCGTGTTCTGCAGCCTGCCATAAGAAATGCGCTGATGTTGCATGTCGTAATAAGTGTGACGCAGATTGCGGCAAAAAGGAAGTTGAAAGTACATTTTTCTAATCTCTTTAGACAAAAATCATTTTAACATTCAGAAAATGTATTAATTTTTTATTCTAACCTATTAATATATCTACCGTTACCTTCACCTTCAGGGTGTGAAGTTTAATTTCATATCAAATTTCACTTTCTTTTTTAATTAAGTTGGTGAGATTCCTACTTTTTAATTTTGTGCATTATTATTAATTTTTATTTTTGTTGGACTTATTTTGCAGATAAATTTAAGATCAAGATACCCCATTGATAATCGAGGAGGATGAAATGAAAAGTGAGCCGTGAAGAATAATTAATTTGATGTACAACATCAAATATAATTTATTTAAATAATATTTATTTCATTTTTGTAATATATTTATTTATTCCTTATAAAATGTTTCTTTCATATTGTTGAGTTTATTTCATTATTTTTATCAACCAAAAGTGATTATAAAAATCATCACATCCATATAACCTAGTAAGTACTAACATACTTTTATGAATTCTAATGGCTTAGAGAGCTATTAGTAGATGTTTTGATGGCACCATACATATTACTAACACCGTGGAGAGCTACCTTTTTCAGTCTCTAGATTTTGTGGTCGTCAATTAGGTTCTTAAGTTTGTCTTCTAGGTTTCAAAGACGTACCAACTCCTTGGAGCTAATCCATTTTTCTAGTGCACAAAGGTCCAAACCTCTAATGGCTGCTCACAATCTTAAGATACATGATCTACTAGAAACATATTGACTAAAATGCTCTAGGTTGAGTGCCTTAATCTTAACTTGGTTCGTGCATGCATGCTTGTTAGGGAGATATTTCTATCGATTGCTGAAAATACGGGATGCATATCTTAAACGTCACCTCGGTTATCTTTGGGTACTTGCGAGGTTTACCAAGATTTTTAATGTGGCTAGGTGACTTAACATGGATTGTGGATTTCAGGGTACTCTATTTTAAGTCCTTGAGTCTTTCTTAATCTGGGAGAACGATGCTCATTCTCCTAGAGGCGCCCAAACTTAGATCATCAACTGGAGCTAAACATAATATATCTACCAACATACAAACTCAAATGGTGATAATATCCATCAATCGTCCTTATCACAACATTTCATCGTCCATTTCAGCATAGTGAAAAGTATATAAAACAACATACATCTCAAAATCTCACGAAAGAGACATTTTGCTTCAAAAATTTGGTGCCTTAGTTTTCGCAAAATTTCACATAAATCTTTGTCTTTAATCACTTAATTTTCCCACCATAAAATAATTATGAATATGAAAGCATATATGTAAGCCTCGAAACTATAATAGAATATGAATTAAAAGATATTTATTATATTTTTGTTTTTTTTTCCCTTATATTTTCTCTTCTCTTTCCATCTCCGCCACGAACTCTAACCTGACAATAGCAAGTGCTTTAGAATTTTCCACTTGCTCTTGTGGGTTTTCTTTTATAGGTTAGACGATGTGAAAACCTACACACGATGATGGTTGTGAGATAATAACAAGAAAATTCGCCCATCTTCCAAAAATCATTTCTAGACACAACAAGAAAACCGAGGCATTGTGGATCTAAGAACTCTAAAGGGGATTGTTGTTGATGAGGGGGAGGGGAGAATGCGTTGTAATGATCCTAAATTTCCACATATCCAGAGTCGCTACTAGCGTCTCATGAGAAATATAACTCTTACATGAACATCATTTATAACTTAAACTTCGAAAAATGCTTAAAACAACTTCTTCTCTGAAAAACACAACCATGGTCTTACGTGTTTAAATAGGAAATACTGAAATTTAGAGAAAATAAAAGCAAATACAAAATAATTTAAAACAATGAAATACAAAACAACCTATTGTAACTAGAAATTTAAACATGAGTCTACCCTATGCACGTGTCACAGTCTCTTCTCGCTATGCCGTCGTCCTCCGTACAAGTGCGCCTTGCCTTTACCTGAAAAATGATGTGGCACATGATCTTGGTATTTCAAAGAATACTCAGTAAGTGGCCCCACTATGGGGGCCATGCAAATGCAAACACATGCAATCATGATTTAGGGACCTATCTCTAATCATCATAAGGGTGGCCTCCTCGGACAAATCTCGGACAAATTGGATGTGTCATACTTCCCTACACACGACTCACATGTGCGAGTGTGAATCCCCAGGGCGCTTGCACTGTTGGGTTTTATGTCTTAAAACTCATCGTTTGTAAACAAAAACATATTCTATTTTCAAGAAAGTTATTATTGTTGTTTATTCCATAAAAATTGTTATTGAATAACGTGAACTTTACGATCATTAATCTAAATCTAATAAACTAAGAACACTCTGGCTAGTATGATTACTTGAACTATATGTAGAGACATAAGAGTTGATCAAGTTCAAGTATATAGTCAAAATGATCTATAGTATAAGAATAAGGGTAAGTACCTTATTCTGGGGACACTATGGATGCGACCCACTTTTGTATATGATATAAACAATGTGATCACTAAATTGTACATGTGAAGACATGTGAATGGGGGCGTCCTATGCAATGAGTATTGCATAAGATCGGACCATGAAGAAAATCACTCTCACTTTATAATGTTGTTTACTGTTGAGACTGATTTTCTTTTTATTCGATGACCTAGGTTACTCTATCTTAATCCTAAGCTAACCATGAACTTTTGTTTATTCAGAATTATCCTTAGATTTGCATGGGGTGAGAGTGGCTCAAGTTCGCTGACTCAATATTCCTCCCATTTCAAGGGTAAGACTGGGTAAATGGCTGGGGATGTGGGGTGCAAGATAGAATTCACTCCTACCCACTTTTAGGATAGAAGAGAGGTAGTTCCCTTAAGTACTGATTCTAGGTCTTGAACAGAGGCCCCACCCTCTCATTGGCCTGAGAGGGATTTAGTTTACTGGTTGGACCACAAACCAATTGTTCATTAGAGGATCAGTGAGACATAAGGAACAAGAAGTAACTTTAGGGGTAAAACGGTAAATTGATCCAGCTCTAGTTATGAACAACGTGTGAAGGATCGACTTACTAATCATGGTTATATCAAATGGATAGAAATATATCTATAGTGAGAGGAGTGCAACTACTAGGCTATAGTGGAATGTCCTAGTAGTTAACGAATGTTGGTTAACAAGCTTAATGAGTTTAACCGGTTAATCTTGGATTGTTGGAGTCCATGATCTATAGGTCCATTAGGTTTCTCTGCTAGCTCATATCAGACTAAACCATAGAACAATGTGACGAGTAAGTTCGAAGTGTTCGAATTCAAATTAGGAAGAATGCACTACATATATACGATATATTTAACCGCATTTTTGTTTTATTTACGAATTAAACAAAGAGAGAGAATCTGAGATATTTAAATAAGATTTAAATATCTTAATCAAATATGTGTCGGAATTAATTGGAATTGGCATTTGAATTAATATTAAATATTAATTAAATAGTTTAATTAATCATTTAATATTACTTTAATTTGAAATTAATAATTTAAATTGATTGTTGAATAAAAATGAAAGAAAGTTAAAATGTTCACTTCATCTAATGGAAAAATCATGTTATTGAAATTTTGAGGTGTCAAAATTTGGTTTAACCAAACTTGCATAAATAAACCCCACAAATTTTAGTGGAATTTTGAGTGTCAAAATTTGGTTAACTCAAGCATACATGCTTGCCACATTATCCCAAACATTTGAGTGTCAAAATTTGGTGATCTAAAATTTGCATGAACATGCAAACATGACTATATAAATAGAGTGATCATGATACATGGAAGGTTGGCTTTTGGAAAAAAAACCTTGAGAAAAATCTCTCACAAACTCTCTCTTCATATATACTAAATCTCTCAAGTTTAGTCACTCACCGGATTCCACAATCCCGTTCTAAGGCCAGAGAATAGTGGAGAAAACACTAGTGGTGGTTCGAAACCGGTTCGTGAGGAAAAAGAAACTTAAGCGACAAAAGGTTAGTATTCAAACTCATTGAGTTTTAATGCTTTTGAACATGCTAGCTAATTCACTATAATTGATGTACTTAGAGTGCCTAAGATCCAAATTGTTTCCGCATGTGTTATATTAACACCATCACGCACACCCCCTGGACCCTCTGGTCAAGCTAATCTGTAGCGAAGTCCGGAGATCAACAAAACCCCATAGTGTCATGCGCCTCATGAACACCCTCATTTGTGCGCATTCGCACTAATCATCTTATTGTGTGCGTCCGCACTTATCATTGATAGGAGAAGTAGCCCTATGCTTATGAACATACAATATGCATGAAGTTCCTCCAAATCCATCATAACGTCTCTTCTGACACAACCCTCTAGTCTCATCTCTTTGTTACTCTAAGTAACACATACTCATGGATATTTTTATTAATATCATTTGCATGCTCTTAGGGTTGTGTCCTATATCGATCTAACAACATGATGCAATATGACACTCATCATCATATTAAGGTAAACGTCACGCAATCATCATACTCATCATATTGCCATAAAGTGCATCAAGCATACCAAGTACGTTATTCATATAACATCATCACATCATTATCTAACGTCATCACATCATCATCTAACGTCATCACATCATCATCTAACGTCATCACGTCATCACATAACATTATCACATCATCATATAACAACATCACATCATCTCATAACATCATCACATCCTATCTAACGTCATCACATCATCATACAACATCAACACATCATCATTTAACGCCATCACATCATCACATAACATAAAGCATAAATGACACATGTAAGGGCCACTGAGCACGTGTCGTCATACATAAGACAAGTCTTTCGACCGAGTCGATAATAAGGTCACTCACCTAATTAGCTTATACTGATGTCACCATCAAAATTTCCTTTATTTCTTTCTCCAATTTTTCTCTTCCCAAAATCTGCCGTTTTTTCTTTCTGTTGTGTTTCTTTTGCATATCATTTTGTAGGAAGTATTGTGGTGAGAGATTTAGGAGTGTTGGATGATGAAAGTCCCACATTGGCTAATTTCGGGAATGATCATGGGTTTATAAGTGAGGAATACTAACTCCATTGGTATGAGACCTTTTGGGAAGTCCAAAGCAAAGCCATGAGAGCTTATGCTTAAGGTGGACAATATCATACCATTGTGGAGAGTCGTCTACCTCTAACAAGGAGAAGGTGGAGAGAGTAATCATTTACCCCGAGTGGTTTAAGTGATCATGAAATCTCACCTTTTTTTTTTCTTTCTAACTACTAAATCAAATTCGGTCGAGATCTATAAAATAAAA